CATATATTTGTCAGGTATTTCTGGGAGGTCGAAGTGGTCTTTGGCCTTCAGATTGTTGGCATTCCTTTCTCCACTTCCTTCTTCATAGAATCATAGGATCCCTACAGTGTGAAAACAGGCCCTTCAGCCCAACAAGTCCACACCAACCCTCTCGGGATCCCACCCAGATCCATCCCACATAACCCACCTAATCTACACATCCCTAAACACTATGGGCATTTTAGCATGGCTAGCCTGCACATCTTTGGACTGTGGGAGGAAACCAGAGCACTCGGAGGAAACCCACACAGACACGGAGAGAATGTGCAAACTCCATACAGACAGTCGCCCGAGGGTGAGATCAAACCCGGGTCCCTGGCGCTGTGAGGCAGCAATGCTAACCACTGACCCACCGTGCCGCCCTGTCTTGTCGACAGGTGTTCTCAAAGAATTGGCTATTGACCAGAAACTCAACTGGACTCACCACATAAACACTGTGGCTACAAGAGCAGGTCAGAGGCGAGGAATACTGCAGCAAATAACTCACCTCCTTACTCCCAAAGCCTGTCCACCATATACAAGGCACAAGTCAGGAGTCTGATGGAACACTCCCGATTTGCCTAGACGGGTGCAGGTTCAACCACACACACAAGAAACTTGGCACCATCCAGGGCAAAGCAACCCCCTTGATTGACACCACATCCACTAGCATCCATTCCCTCCACCAGTAAAATTCAAAAGCAGCAGTATGTACTATCAACAAGGTGCACTGCACAAATTCGAAGATCTTTAGACAGCACCTTCGCAACCCATGACAACTTCCATCGAGGGAAAAGGCAGCAGATATATGGGAACACTCGCCATCCAGACTTGGAAATACATCGCCATTCTTCTACTGTCACTTGGTCAAAATCCTGGAATTCTCTCCCTAAAGACATTGTGGATCAACCTACAGCAGGTGGACTGCAATGCTTCAAGATGACAACTTACCACTACTGTCTCAAGAGCACACTAGGATGGGTAACAAGTACAGGGGAGCCTGCAATGCCCAAGTCCCCTAAATGAAGAAAAAAAACTTGACTCTTCACATTTCCTCCAAGTCTGAACAAGAGTCTCCTATGCTTTGGCATCTAAGTTGCATCTCTTTAGGGATGTCTTCAGGGAGTCTTTGAAATGCTTCCTTTCTCCTCTTCTCCGACCTCAAGCTGGGCGAAGATTTGCTTTGGTGCTTTCAACTCAGGCATCCGAATCACATTGCCGGCCTAGCAGAGTTGGTTTCGAATGATCATGGCCTCAATGTTGGTACTATTAGCTATTAGCTGTTTCAAGGAGGCTGATGTTTGTACACTTGCACTCCCAGCTGCTGGGGAGAATCCATCTCAAACAGCATTGATGGTACATCTCAGTCTTCAGATCTTGAGGTGATGCTGACACGTAATTCAAGTTTCGGAGCCATATAGAAGATTTGGAAGGATAACTACCATATACACAAGGATCTTGATTTCAGCACAGATGTCACTGTCATTGATGACTCTCATCCTTAGGCATCTGATGTAAGCCTTAGGTGAGAGGGAGCTTCCCAGATAAGGGAAAAGTTCCATGTTTGGGAGGATTTCTCCATTTATCTTAATGGAGGGATGCACTGGAATTTGACCTGGGATGGGTTGCTAAAAATTTGTATCTTCTTGAAGTTGATGCCAAGACCAAAAGGAGGCACTGGCGTTTGCATACTGAAGGTCCACAAGCAAGGTCAGTGTTGTTTTCTCAGAATACAGAACACAGTTTAAGAACATGGGACTATTTAGGACTGAAATGAGAAATTTTCCTCCCAGACAGAGTGGTGAGCCTGTGGAATTCTCTGCAGTTCTGGCCAAAACATTGAACGTTTTCAAGGAGGAGTTAGAAATAGTTCTCAGAGCTAAAGGAATCAAAAGATATAGGGAGAAAGGAAGAACCGAGTACTGAATTGGAGAATCAGCCATGATCACACTGAATAGCAGAGCAGATTCGAAGAGCCAAATGAACTACTGCCTGAATTGATGAAGCATCTAAAAATGGCTCAGTCCACAACAATTCTCATTCTGGTGCAGAACTGCAGCAATGTCCTGACACTAAGATAATCACCCTCCAACACAACTGTCAGTTACTGTGCCAAGCATGATTCAGTCCAATTACCAAATCTACTTCAGCAGAAAAGGAATCAAATCTTTCCAGTAGCATTATTCAAAAAGAATATCAAATCAACTAAACTAACCAGCCTTTTCACAAGGGGAAGTACTTGAATGCTAAAGAAAGAACAGAAATGGTACTATTGAAATGGAGAAAAACTTCAGAAGGATGAAACAAAAAAAGGGACTTGGGGGTATTTGTGCATGAAACACAGAAAGCAGTCACACAAGCGCAGCAGGTAATCAGGAAAGCTAATGGAATGTTGGCCTTTATTTGAAGGGCAGTAGGAACTGCAGATGCTGGAGAATCCGAGACTACAAGGTGCAGGGCTGGATGAACACAGCAGGCCAAGCAGCATCATAGGAGCAGA